GGGAGGCTGAGGCAGAAGGATCGCTCGAGCCCAGAAGTTTGAGGTTGCTGTGAGCTAGGCTGACACCACGGCACTCTAACCGGGACAACACAGTGAGACTCTGTCTCAAAAAAAAAAAATGTGCAAAGGATCTGAATAGACATTTCTCAAAAGGAGATGCACAAACGGCCAGCAGGTATGTAAGAAATGCCCAACAGCATTAGTCGCAGAAATGCAGATAAATACTACAGTGAGATATCACTGCACCCCACGTAAAACGGCTTTCGTCAGAAAGGCAGGTACTAATGAACGCTGGAGAGAGGGGAATCCTTGCACGCTCTCGGTGGGAATGTAAATTAGTGCAACCACCGTGGAGAACAGCATGGAGGTTGCTCAAAAAACTGAAAATAGAGCAACCATGTGACCCAGCAACCCCAGTGCTGGGTGTATATCCAAAGGAGGGGAATTCAGCGTATCAAAGAGTCATCTGCACTCTGATGTTTTGTTTTTTTTTTTAACTTGCCATTACTAATTTATTTATTTTTTTTATTTCAGCATATTATGGGGGTACAGATGTTTAGGTTACGTATGTTGCCCTTGCCCCCCCTACACTCTGATGTTTATTGCAGCACTGGTCACAGTGGCCAGCATTTGGAACCAGCCTAAATGTCCCTCAGTGGATGAACGGTGTATATATGCGCATCGGACTGTTATTAATATGCAATGTATAATAATATATTATTAATATGCAATATCATGATAATATGTTATTAATATACAGCCACAAGAAAGAAGGAAATTCTGCCATTGGGGACAACATCGATGGAACCAGAGAACATCGTGTTCGGTGAAATAAGCCAAGTCTCACGTGTTCTCACTCACACGTGGGAGTTAAGTATTAAGAACGGCTGCTCGCATGGAGACAGAGGGGAATGGTGGTCAGCAGAGGCTGGGAAGGGTAGCGGGTGGCGGAGGATAGAGTGGGTATCTTAACAGGTACAAAAATACAGCCAGATAGTCGGATACGATGAACGCTATTTGATAGCACAACAAAGTGACCATAATCAACCATAAGTCAGGGTAGACTTTAAAAATAACTAAAAAACTAGAGTCCGAATATCCCTAACACAAAGAAATAACAAATCCCTGAGATGGTGGAGACCTCAGTTACCCCGATTTGGTCAATGCACACGGTATCGCTGCCTCGAAACCTCACACGCACGCTCTAAAGGCAGGCAACGGCTCTGTACCCATAATCATTCAACATTTAGAAAAATTACAAGCTGCGATTGTCAGACAGGGAAGAAAAGAAACTCAAGAAACGGTCTGAAACCCGTGCACGCTAAGAAGCTCAAATGACAGGGGAATTCCTCGTCCGTCTGCCTCGGCGGCTGGTGGACGGAGGACCGCGTCATGCACGTGTCGGGAAAGGCAGTCGGAATTGCGCGAGTGTACCCCAGGGACACCCAGCATCCGGCTTCCCCCAGATCAGCTGTGGGAGCCAGGATCCAATTTGCAAGGTTGACACATCGAGGCAAGAGGGTCTCCGGGGACCCCCTAGGAACACAGGTGTGGACAAGAGCCTGGCACAGACTCCCAAGGTCAAAGGCTACGTCACGATAGACACAAGGGGATGGCTCGGAACTGTCCCCAACAGGCACACTCGGCCACAATCCAGGTTGGAAGTTAGACCCCAGCCGTCTGGGGCAAGCCCCGCTCTGCCTGCTGGCCGGGGCTGGATTTTCCCTCCTGACTTCTCCTCTGGGATCTTTTTAAGAACATTGAATGCAGGAGCACAGGGCTGGCCACGGGTTTCCGGAGAAACCCCCAGGAACAAGGCGGCGAGGACAGCAAGGTGAGGTCTGCGGTCGTTCTCAGAAAGCGCAGCCGTTGATAACCAGAATCTCCTTAGAGCTCGGGAACATCGACAAGAAAAAATCAAACAACCCTATCAAAAAGTGGACAAAGGACATGAACAGAAACTTTTCAAAAGAAGACAGAATAATGGTCAAAAAACATATGAAAAAATGCTCAACATCTCTAATCATCAGGGAAATGCAAATCAAAACCACAATGAGATAACTGGCCTTTATCAAAAAGTCCCAAAACAATAAATGTTGGCGTGGATGCGGAGAGGTAGGAACACTCATGCACTGTTGGTGGGACTGCAAACTAGTGCAACCTCTGTGGAAAGCAATATGGAGATACCTTAAAGAGATACAAGTAGAGCTACCATTCGATCCAGCAATCCCATTACTGGGCATCTACCCAAAAGAACAAAAGTCGCTCTATAAAAAAGACACCTGCACTCGAATGTTCATCGCAGCACAATTCACAATTGCAAAGATGTGGAAACAACCCAAGTGTCCATCAATCCATGAGTGGATTAATAAAATGTGGTATATGTATACCATGGAGTACTATTCAGCTTTAAGAAACAATGGTGATCTAGCACCTCTTGTATACTCCTGGATAGAGCTGGAACACATTCTACTAAGTGAAGTATCCCAAGAATGGAAAGACAAGCACCACATGTACTCACCATCAAATTGGTATTAACTGATCAACACATAAGTGCACATATAAGAATAACATCTATTGGATGTTGGGCAGGGGGGAGGGGGGAGGACGGAGGAGGGGACAGGTATTTGCATACACAAAGAGTGCAATGCGCACCACCCTAGGGATGGACACATTTGAAACTCGGACTTGGGGCGGAGGGGGGAGGCAAGGGCAACATACATAACCTAAACATCTGTACCCCCATAATATGCCGAAATAAAAAAAAAAAAAAAGAAAGCGCAGCCGTGCACGGAGATATGGCCAGCCAGGGTCCCTGCTGGCTCCCTCCGGGGTGGATGTGACCGTCCCAGGCCCTTCCCCCGAGGCCACCATACGGTGACCCTCTCCTAGCTCAGGGGCCGCTTTGTGACAAGAAGTCACCACAGAAAATAGCAACATCAACTCAAACAAAAGCCTCCAACCTTTCAGAAGCCAGAAAGCCCCACAAGCTCTGGGGAAGTGAGCCCACTTTCTCCATGTAGCCAAAATGCCCTTTTCTTATTCTTTTTTTTTTTTTTGCTCCTTCTACTGAACCTGACCCTGAATTCAAGTAAAAAACAAAAAGGCAGCTTGCGACAGGCTTATCTGATCTGAATCCAGGCTCATTTGTTAGCAGAGACTCAGAAACCTCCGCGAGCTCGTCGGGTAACTTTTACAAAGAGAACAGCGTGGGTGCAAAGTGGACCCCCGAACAAAACAACCCAAGGAGGGGCTGTGAAAATCAAAGACTGTTTATGCACACGCACGACCAGCCTCGTCTCCAGCTGTTGCCTTACCGGTTCTGGCCGGCCCCGAAGCCATCGGGTGTCCCAGCAGACAGACGGCAGCCGCCCAGGACAGGAGGAACCCCCGCATGCTCGGGGAGACAGGAGGCAGCGAGAGAGAGTGTCAGGGACGTAGTGATTTAGCTTCATGACTCATCTGCAGAGGTCACCCCTGGCTTTAAAAAGGCAGAAAGGAAACCAGGCAAGTGAAGACAGACAGGAAACTGAGTCACGCTTGATTTAAAAAAGAAAAAAAAATGACATTTATCAAGCAAAAAAATAAGACGACAAACCAGCATCTCTATTTGCACACAGCCTGCTAACCGTTACTGGAAAGCCTATGAGATATTAATTTTCTGCAGCCAGGACTCTTCCTGTCTGGCGGACGGAGAGAACTGGGAACATTTGTGCAGGTGCCTGGTGGGTGATCTGGGATCCCTCGACCACCGGATCGAGGGGGTGGGCTGTCCGTGCAGAGGTGCTCACGGTCTTACGTGACCTTCGACACCA